TAAATTATTATAATATTAATAATATTATTATTTATATTAAAATATATTATAAAATATGCCTTAATTATAGGTGTATATTTTTAATTCCATATGATTTAACAGTGTATATAATGTTAAGAGTAATATATTGTTTCAATAAGTCGAGTTAACTCGATTTGTTCCGAATATTGTGGGTCTTCATCGAGTTGAATTCAAATTTACAAAATTCATCCTATCAAAATTTCCAAAAGAGTAAAGATACAAGTAAACTATCCTAACCCATCTAAAGAACACCCCTTTATATGAAAATACAACTCCTAGAAATGAAATATCACTCCTAATTAATATAACAATAACATTATTAGAAAAATATTATCTTTTTACAAACTTTCTCACAGAAATTTTTTGTGAATTTTCTTATAATAATAATTTTATAAAAAAAATTAATTTATTTTTGAGAAATAATTTGCAGAAATTTCTTAAAAAAATTATGAAAAATAATTTATAAGAAATTTTTACAAATTTTGCTACGATTTTAATTATCATAAAAAAAATTTCATGATAAAAATATGTAAAAAATATCGTAAGAATTTTCTTTTTTCTTTTTTTTTTTTCACAAATTTTCTTGCGAAAATAAATTATCAAATAATGCTTATGAGTATTATAATAAATGATAAAAAAGTTTCGCAAGTAATTTTTTATGCGGATTTTCTTACCAATTTTAATTTGCAGGAAAAATTAAAATATATTTGAATTTATAAGTTTAATAATTAAAATCTTTTAATTAAAAATATTATTTTATTAAATTATTTATAAATATATCATTATAATTAATTTTAAATTAAATTACATTAAATATATAAATTTTTTATAAATATGATAAATTAATGATAATGAGTTTTAATTGAATGATAATTTGCAAAATTTTAAAATTAAAAGTATTTACTTAACAAAACATTATTTTACTGAATTATTTATAAATATTTCATAAAAATTAATTTTAACTAAAAATATTAATAAATTAAACATTTATTTTAATTAAATTTATAAAGTGATGAGAATGAATTTTAATTTAATGATAATTTTTAAAATAAAATCATTTAATAAAAAACTATTTTTTAGAATATTAAATATTTTAAGAGTTAATATAATTTATAGTAATATAATTTTGTAGTCCAATATGATTGAATTATTTTTCTTTCTAAGGACATGGTCTAATAAATATATAAGAAAAATTTTCAAGTTACACGTCAATTAGAGATAAGATAATTAAAGAGTATATATAAGTATAGACAACACTCACCTTACAAGTTAATTTTATAAGGTTGAATATACTTATAACCTACATTCTAAGATTTCAAAAGATTATGAATCATGTTAGAGGCGTGGAAACATATTCTTAATGCTTTGAATATAATAATTGAAGAATTATTAATAGTGATTTGACGCTCAACACAAAAATTGCTTGTGCTTTCAAATTTTAAATTTGTAAGAAGCTTTCTGTAATAATTTCTTTGATTTTTTTTTGTAAAAAATTTTTCTACATAATTTTTTGCGAAAAAATTTACAAGAAAGTTTTTTGTGAATTTTTTCGTAAAAATTTTTGCAGGAAAAGATTCTTGTAAATTTGAAAATTGAAAAAATTATATTATCTAGAAATTTTGCAGGTATTACTTGAAGATAAAATTTCACTGAAAATTTTATAGAAATCACAAATTTTATTAATTTTTATACAAAATTAATGTGAAAAGACATGTAATAAAAGAAGTTTAACCGGTGAAAATATAATCCATTGCAAAAGTTTATTAGCAAGAAGCGGAACAAATAGGTTGGACCGGGACAACTTTATGATAATAAAGGACCACTACGCAAGGAATCATGGAGTAATGGTAGAAGTGTCCTTATGTTTCAGTGTACTAGAGATAGAATGGGTGATAAGGATTCTATATACTCAGGATGAGGCAGATCTTCAGCCATCACTTTTCCTAAAAGATTCTTTGAATGCCATTTAATCTTTGTGGCTCGGATCCTGTGACCATCATTAATTGATGCAACTTGACATTCACCTAACCAAAGCTTAGAAGTGAGAAGCATAGGTGAATTACATTTAGTTGAACCAAAATTACTCCACAGAAACGTCCTATCCTTTTCAACGGGTAACAATCCTTATCATTACAGCATCGGAAAGATCTTGAAAAGAATTATGAGCTATATAAAGTTAAGTACAAATTTCTTATATAAACCATTATTGCAGGCAATTCCTAAATACTGAGCATCAGTTTTGGGTTGTTCTGGCGAATATACTACACTCATGAGGCCTAAGCCTACTTGCAAGATGTTGGAAACAAAACAATTCCATAGGGCGGGGGCAGTCTAAACCCGATTGATACCTGCTAGCTACACCGACCTTTGAAATATATGGTGCTGCCTTTTATTGTTATTCCAAATTCCAAAATTCACCCATTTTAATTCTTTATTCGAATCAACCTATTTCAACATTTTTTTTATTTAAACAACAGTGAACCTCAATCAAGTATGCTCAAGATTGTGGTGTAGAACGTTACTTATCACATTCATTGCACATATCACACTCAAAAGTTTGTGGTGTGGAATGATTGTGATTTTATACAAGTTCTACATGTCTGCACCAAGTCTCCGTTGTCTGTACTTGAAAATTAACAAATGAAAATAATTATGAAAAAAACTAAAAGTAAAAAGTGCCCTCTTGAAGAAATTGAAAACCAACAAATTACTATAACAGGAAAAAATAATGGCACGTTATCTTGTAATTGCTTAAAAGAAACAGAGAAAATCCGGCGAGTGTATGCATAATTTCAATTTATCTCTGACTTCACAAAATTTATTATTTTTTTTATAATGAATAAGAGAAAAACTAAAATAAATGATTTTACAGTCTTGAACTAAAGTAGGGATTTTGTAAAGATTAGGATTAGAGTATATCGTTATCATGTAATTTTTTAATATCTATTGTCACAAATTGCTACTGTATGATGGCATACAAATTGTTCTGGTTTGGTCATCTTGACATGCAGAGTTATAACCATTTATAGAAATTAGGCTAATGATGGTTTCTGTCACCTTATTGTCTTTCTCTTGCCCAAGATCAACCATATATGAGTTAAAAAGATATCATTGTTGATGTTCTTTACTTACACAAGTATAAAAGCCAAACAAATGAAAATGGCAGCTAGACTCAACCCACGTGCTAATCCAGAAGGAGAATATATAACTCCACAAGTATTCCTTGTTTTGATGAGGCTTCACAGAACCTTGAAGCTAAAGATAATTATCCCTATACTGCAACTGGATCTTAATAGTAATGGGGCAATCCCTGAAGCCTAAGTTCTGTTTCATGGCAATGCCCTAAGGTAACTGCAAAAGACAAAGCAAAATATCATGTACGATATATATATATATATATAGCGGTACTGCATTTGTTGGTATTTGATGTAGTGATGTACTCCCTGAAACTATTTTTGACATAAGCACAGTGGAGCAATAATAAAATATTATTATTTATTCCCTTATCAAATGGCTCCATCTTTTCTCCCCCCTCACATGCAGGTTCTCCTATAAATGTTGTAATAATTTGAATTATTTGACCACTTGCACGTTACATGATTTTCAGACTACTTATAATGGATGATGCTTATAATGATATGCTCATCTGTTTCCTACATGGCTATGCCATGCCTCTTACGAAATCAAAAGCCAATGCTTAAGCTGCAACTTATGTATTATGGAAAACAGATTGATCACTTGCTTAAGTACATCAAAACCAACATTTTTATTTTGGTCATGTAACTAAAATCAAGCAAAATCTTCGTCATGAGCCATGAATCAAATAAAGGGGAAGAGGGCCCCAACATCTAAAATGAGTAACCTATTCAATAACCTTCCCTCGGAGTAAAAAATAAGAAAAAAACAACAATAATTGTACGAACACAACTGGCCGAGCAGGAGTGTTGGAATGTTGTTCAGGACAAAGTACAGATACAAGATCACCACCAAGCAACATGAAAACACAAGATCTTTCATACGCAATCGAACTGTTCTGAACAATATATTGTGGTTGTTTGTTTTGATGCATGCGTGGAGGTTTTTACACCGGCTAATTTTACATGCACAGAGTTACATAGTCCTCACATACTCACATGCAAGCCGTTGGATAAAAAACTTGGTCCCACTTTAACTTTTATTCAAGTGGTCCAGATTTTGCACATATCTCACATAGTTTGTTTCCCTTTTGTACCTGCTTTGGATTCAGTGGATTTGAGCTTGGACCCACTGAAGACCCTGCAAGTAAGAGAATAAAATAAAGATAGGCATTAGCTGACCTAGCAGATAGAGTGTTGCTCTGCATACGTTCTCATGTTTTGAACCACAGCCCAAATTTGTTGCCTAAAGTGAAGAGGTTGATTGTGTCTATTTACTAAACTACGTGATATCTTCGTAGCTAAAACTAATTACATTCTACCAAAGTAGTTTACAGATTTTACTTTGTTCAACTGTGTATAAACGATTATTGAGTTTTCATTAGCTTCTAAATCCACTAAATGTTCATTCATATGATATGATAGATACAAAGGGTTTAACGGTGGTGATGTACGAAGAAGAGTATATTACACAATTAACCAATCAAAAATTACGATTTATATATGACCTTTAAGGTTTGACTATGTAAAATTGTTAGTGCATCTAAAACTCATATATAAAATAGTAAAAGAAGGGAACGGTTAAGAGCAAAACACAAACAATAAAAAGTTATAAAAACTCTTGGCTATAGTCTTATCAATACTTGCAATCGTTTTTACTGTAGGAAGATACTGATTCTCCCACATCTCTGCTACCCAATTTCTTGGGCCTGTTCAATTCCATGGTTCCTAAGGAGACAAATCATAATTATTCTATTTTATTTCGGCTAGATTTTGATGCCAACTGGCGCTACCCCACCTAATACCTTCCATTTTGTGCTTATAAAAGGAGCAGGCATTGCTACCTCTCAACACATCAGCTCTTCCTTTGAGTCTGATCATTGGACGCTCTTTCCACTCTTTGCTACCACCTATTCAGTTTCTTTGCTCTTCCTTAGTTTCAAACCTTAGACCACCATTCTCTATAGTGATTCTCTGAAAGAAATGGCATCCAGTTCAATGTCAGCCTCAGGGTCGTGGAGTGTTAAGGACAACAAGGCCTTTGAAAAGGCTCTAGCTGTTTATGACAAGGACACCCCTGACCGTTGGTACAATGTTGCACATGCTGTTGGTGGCAAAACTCCAGATGAAGTGAAGAGGCACTATGAACTCCTTGTTCAGGATGTTCAGCATATTGAGTCAGGACGAGTGCCATTCCCAAATTACAAGAAAAGTGGAGGATCTGAGGAGGAAAAAAGGTATCATTCACTTTATACACTAATAGCTTCATATTCCCACATATTGCTTGTCAAACAATGCTAGCTGCTATGTTATCGCTTCACAATACCCATCAAAGTGTGCAAACAAGTTTATGCAATAGTTAACTCTGCAACCAACAATTTTATTTGATCTTTACAATTACCACTCTAATATTTTATTTTACTTTCAGGCTGAGGAATTTGAACATCCAGTGACCCCACAGTGCCATCAACAAGAGCAAATTGATTTTCTAATTTTCATCAACCAACAATTTTAATTTCCAGCATCCTTGTAGTACTACGTGGTGTTATGTCACACATAATTGCTAGTGCAATAGCGTTAAAGGCTATGTTAGTCATAATAATCATATGTCCGGTGATTCCATCTTGTCCTTTCTTGTCGTTGAAACTAGCTAGAAGAGTCAACGACCGTTTCAGTTCCTCATCTTAAATAAATTTATAATTTTATGATATGCTCAATTATTACCATAACGTATATCAGTTACCTTATTCTTGAATGACATAGCAATTAATTAGTTCCCTTGAGGAATCTAATCCCAGTGATGAAGAAACAACAACAGCTGGAAAAATAATTATCAAGAAAAGAGACATTAAACTTTTTACTAGCTAGCAGACCATTTATAAATCACTGTGCTGATCTTGATTCTTTCATAATAGGAAGCTGAAATTTTTCATGCATGAACAGATGAACTCTACGAAACCATTGCCATGACCACTAGAACCCAACAAGAAAAGAAGCGGGAAAGTTTGCTTGGAAGTTCCTAGAATATAGACTCCGTTAAACTCTGTCAAACAAAAATATTAAAATAATAACATGATTAGTAACGAAATTTTGTCATTCTTTTAAGACAATGGTTTAATTGTAAGTACTGCAGTAGCATAAATACTTGCAATGAAATTTTGCCATTCCTTTCAAGACAATGATTTAATCGTGAGTACTGCAGATAAGTTAACTCTCCTTTGCAGATGCAATCATTGCTTGAGGGAGCTTTCTATGATGCACATTGTGTTATAAATAAAATAGAGAGACAAGAAATAAATGGAAAAAAAAAAAAAGAGATAAAAGACGAACATAATTTTATTTATTTTTTGTATGATAAAGATGAACAGAATAAGAAAGTTGTGTTGTTTAGACAAATAAAAATAAAACTAATAAATGAATAAATTTCTCTTCACTTGTTTTTTTTTTTTTTTAAATTATCGTAATTATAACATCTGACTTTGTTGTTAAGACTAAGAGATATCTCTACAAATGTCTACACTCTTTGGACTGTCTTTTAAGATTAATCATCCAATTTAATCACACTATATTAAAGTTTTTCTCCTCTCTCATATATTAGTGTTAGTGTATGTTACTAAATGAATCTCATTTCTCTTCACTTATTTATTTTTTATATTCACTTATACAAGTCAAGAGTGAGTATAAATAAATTATTTAGAAGATTTTTTTTTATCTTCACTTATTTAGATGATGAGTACACATCTTTCTTTCCATTTTCATGCTTCATTAAAGAGGAAATATGTAATTTATTTATGAGATCCACAACATCATTTCTTTTCTTCTTATTTTTCTTTTTATATAAAAATTAATATTTATTTTTTATTTTTTCTTCCTTTTCTCTTAAATACACCTAAACAAGCAAACCGTAAGCCTCTTCATTGAAGATAACGATGAATATAATGTCTTACTTCTCAAAACTAAATGTGTTTTTTCTGCTAAAAAAAATTAACATGTTTAATATAATAATCATTTTAATAATGTCATAGTATATATATATATATATATATATATATATATATATATATATATATATATTGAATATCTTTCGTAATATTCTTGGAAACAAGCAGGTCTTTCCAAGTAATTAATAATAAGAAGGAGGAGGAAGAGGATGTATTATTCTAATATTTTCTAAATCATATAATACATCTCGATTAATTCAGTTTGAAAAATTTTAAGATTTTCATATCTAGCATGACCATAAAAAAATTGTTCAAATAAAAATCTAAGAAATAATAACTAAAATTGTAGAGATGCCAAATTCATATACATTATAAACTGTGTTTGAATTTTATTGGGGGCATATCTTAACATGCATAAAAATATATTATTCCATAGCATCAAATGTACAAATAAAGAATGAAAATGGCCTTTTCCCTCCCCGGCCTTTTTGGTAGAATAGAAGTTGTGTGGGAGAATTGGATGTCTCACTCTGATATTATAAGCCTCTTGATATTTTATTCTTAGAATAGTACGTAGTATTATTTAAACTACGTTCTACCCGTAAAAGCCCATACTAGTTTTACTTCCATGATTAAGTCTATTTTGAAAATCTATACTAGCTACACGATATTAAAATCTACGAAAATTTAATATTTGTTCCAAGTTTGATCATAACGAATAGCACTCACTTTTATTGATATCTATATATATATAGTTGTACGCTCCAACTCCGTGTACCCTCTATTATGTATTTCAATGCTCATCGATGTTATACAAATCATTCACGTGATTATACTGTTGTGTTCATAAAACATTTCACCTTTTTATTATATAATAATAATAATAATAATAATAATAATAATAATAAGTAATAAACAGCAGTTTTTGTTCCGTGGATTAAGGTTTACGCATGTAAGTTGAAACAAGCCACAAAAGTTGTAAATATAGTAATTAGAGATAGGACGGTCCGAACAAGTTAAAGCGAAGTAAGAAAATCGAACACGATTAAGATGGAGATATAGCCATAGGTCGATTAGCTCAACAACCTCTGCCTTGGCACTCTATATAATGTTAATGGTCGCCCAAACAGGGAACAATTATTTCTTTTTTATTATTGTTATCGCAAGTGCAATATATAAACTGACAGTTATTTTTTTTTTTGTCAGGGAGAAGATAGGTGTAGAGGATGGGGAGAGGTAACGTGTGCTGGAAAATAGAATTCATTCTTTTTGATAAAACTTACATGTATCCTATGCGAGAATCAATATTGTTTGAGAGAAATAAAATTATTATGAGTGATAAATTTCTTCTTCTAAATACTTAATACAACATATGTATATACCCAGGATTCAAATCATGGATTAAGCTGGAATAGTTTCGATTCACGTATTTATAGAAATCATCATTTACCCTTGGTATGTGGTATATAAATGAGTTCAACTAAGCTTCATTTTTTACATCATGAGATGATGAGAATAATGATGTGTATAAGATTAATGGCGAGGAGGATGAAAAATAAAATGTGACATGAATAGGAAAAATTCAATGATATGAGCATGTTATTGATTGATATATAAAATGCTTTTTCCTAGGTATGTTAGCCAGTTTCATGAATTTTTCTTAGAGCTAGACTCTAACGAGGTAAATGAATGAAAGTTATTGTTTGGTGTAAGTTAAAGTTGTCATTTTGTTTTAGGAGTGTTTTTACCTATAATTTTGTTGAAGCTTATATAAACTATAAGTTAATAATCGAAAAAAATTATAGATTAACTAATTAAATTAAAAGTAAGTTTTCATTCTTTAGTGTGATAGATGTTAGCTAAGCTTCTTCGTATTTCAATGTTAAAACTAGAGCCGTCAAAATGGACTGTGGCACGTGGGCTAACCCGACCTACCTTCAAAACGGGTCAGGCCAGACCAAAAAAATGAAAGTTTTATAGTAGGTGAGTATATCTCAACCTGACCCACTTTCACCCGGCCCACCCAGATTGAACCCGTGGTGGGCTAGGCAACCCACCAGCTCACCAATTTTTTTTTGTAATGAAATTTTAAGTATGATTTGTAGTTAATTTTATATGATGAGTTATGACTTATGACTATTAATGATGCTAATTTTATACTATTATGTTAATTTATAATTAATTTAAAAATTTTAATTTTGTTGATAAGTTTTTTTAATTTTTGGTGGGTTGGCCCGTATAACCCACCAACCCGTGGTGGGCTAGGTCGGGCCAATTTTTTTTTAGAAAATCAAAATTGAGTCGAGTTGGGTTGACCCTTTTTAAAGTGGGTCAAGCTGGACGGGCCCACATGGGCCGGCCTGACCCGTTTTGAGAGCTCTAGTTAAAACTTGGAAGGTTGTATACCTTTTGAACTTAAAGTTAAGAGTAAATTGTTCCAATTAAACATATGCAGATTATTGTGTCAATTACCTACTACACTAATCGAGCGAATATCTACTCAGATTGAGGAGATGAAAGATTCAATACCTCAAAGTTTTATCATATATTGGTACGAACATCTACCAAATTAACCAAGATAAAAGCCTAATGGTTTGACCTTTAGAACTATAGATATTCATGATAACAAGGATTAGAGGAAATTGTGTTGGGATTTTTTAGAAAGTATCTCTACAAAATTCAAGGTTTTAATACATGCAAACATAACTATATAATTTCGTCTTAAGCTTTTATAAGGTTAAAAGGAGGTAGATTACTCTCTTAAATAATCTAGAATTAGACAATAGTTGGATTTCTCTAAATGAGGTATTTGTACTAAAATATAAAGTGTTTAGTAATATTAGTGATAATTGTCTTAGTTACTTCAAATTGTACACATTTTAGTAAACAATCATCTAATTTTCTTTCAAATTAGATCATTACATATCATGTTTGTTAAGTTTTTAGCTTGTGTTTGACTTACCGAGTGTATGATAATGTTTTCTTATTTCAGGATAGATGAAGGCCATTTATTTAGCCAATTTTGTAGCTTGAAGTCATCCATTCCCCGGTGCCACTTTCACCGTCAGGTTGAGAAACTAATTCAGGATTTGGCGCAACATTGAAGGGTCACGAGGCAACCACTTGATGATCTAGAGCCATTCCTCGCAACCTATAATTTATAAGGCGACCATTATCTCGCGAGGCGCCTTCTTTAGAATCATTCTTCGCAACTCATAATTCGCAAGGAGATCTTGGGACTTGTAGTGGCGAAAGCAAGAGCAAATCCTCTCAACTTGATATTAGCAAGGAGATCCTTCAGTCACCCTACCAATGTTCTCAAACTGATGGAACCACCTGGAAAATTGTCAAATCGCCTAATGGTCTTGGACAAGACAGTGTTCATTTTTGGTTCCATTTCAAATTGCGCAACGAGATGTAAAATCGTCAAGTGATAGCATTTCCCTTTTTGGTACTTTTAGTAATATTATTTGAAGAAAAAAAAACGGAAAGAATCGGGTGTGGTTGGTGTTAATGTTCTATCGCTAAAGACAATAAAGTAGCAAGTCTCCCCATTGTATCAAACATCTTTGTAGTTGCTGATGGGGATGAGTAACTAATCTTATCATTGTTGTGGTTTGATGTAATGAAACTTATTTGTATGTATTTATTGCATTGAATATAGATGTCTTTGTATGTTAATATAGTGTATTTACTTCTATATTTAATGTTTGTTATGATTTTATCATCCATATCTTATTTTATGATTTTGATTATCATTAGAAAATGT